TTTTTAAGTTAAGAGTTAGATTAATCGTACTTGGAATCATCAGCGTGTAGCTGACTGTTTTCTTTAACCTGTATTGAATCTACAATAAGAGGAAAGAAAAAAAAACAACAATTACACAGAGAACACTTGCAAAGAATGGCTTATGTGACAAAGAACTATTTTTAGATTTTTTATGCTTTTATTTGTACGAATGAACCCTGAAATTTATAAGAAGAATTACTAATAAATATTATTTGTGAAAATGAATGGTTTTTGAATTCATAAATAAGCAAGAGTTTTCTTTTACGTGATGTGATTGTAAACGAATGCTTTGACAAAGGACAATGGCGAACTCCCACACAAATTTTTGTTAAACAATTTTTTTTTTGCGTCTTAACACGAAAAATATGTAAAAATATAGAATTTAACGTTCTGAATATATCATACTCACATATTGTTTTTAAAGGAAGTGTGGAATTAAAGATATTTCGATCTAAAGTTTTTGAGGTTATGTCGTATACTATTGCTCTGAGTTTAAATAATAATAAAAACAATCTATGTAAAATAGACTGCGCTCTATATAAAAAAGGTTATAATAAACCAAACGACGCCATAGAAGTCTCCAGCACCTACAGGGTAGCATATTACATCTCTAATATTCTATTCAAATCGATCTGATCTGTATTAATTCTAAACGGCTGTTATATTTTATTGTGATGAAGTTTAAAACGTTTACCAAATTAGGTAACAGATTTTCTTTAATGATACTATATTTCTACTTTTACAGCTTTTAAAAAACTTAGAAATAAGCCTCGATATGAAAAATAGCTAGAAAAATGAAGCAGTTTTTTTATATTAACATAGGTACATAGGTACCCAATTAAGGTCTGTTATCTTCGAAGTAAAACATTTATAATATTAGATATTCCATAAATAAAAAAATCTTTTGAATTATTTATACTTCATTGTCTCTTATGACAATACCACCAAGAAAACCAGCTGGTCCTAAAATACTTTTTGAATTAATGTATAAACTTATGAATTAGGTAGATACAAGTCATATTTTCTTGCCCTTCCATTATCAAAGCATCCTTATCGTACAGCTTTAGATTTAAATTAAAACAACATAAGCATCAATATCGCAAAGGAGTCACTCACAAATCAGAACACAATTTCCACCAAAATCACTAAATCGTCCACTTCGTAATCGTACTCTGTGATAATAATAGATCCAGTAAATTCACTAAAATTAACTCAGCATAATTTAAACTATCCAGTGTTGCCTTATCAAAATCACAAATCCTATAATTGGCAAAATATTGTTAAAAATTGAGTTCACAGGCTTGGTTCATAATGAAGTATTTAGAAAATAAAGAATGCTTATTCATTCTTCGTTTAGTCTAAAATATACACAAATTATTTGTTATTAGCAACGTCCAGTTTACAGTTCACCATTGGTAAAATCTAGTTCCTAAAATTGTATTTAGAGGAATTAAACATCTTTAAGTTTCAATTTTATATTCGCAACTATCGTCGTCAGTTAAACTGACAGTATTTATTTTTTCCTTCAACGGTTTTACTATACTTGTGTTAGGTTTAAGAAATAATTGCAAATCCATCTTATTTTAATTTATAAATGGTAACTTGATTCTTAACACAAAAATGTGACTTTTTAAATCTATAGAAGTATTTATGATATGAAAATATATTTTCAAAATATTTTAACGCTAAATATAATATAATATTAGACTACACATATTATTTAACTCGGGACTTTATTTTTTTATAATATGGTAACATTAATTGCACGGCAAACAAGCCTGATGAATCCACTGTCGATATTTTTAGTCAATTGACTTTTCAAGAATAAATGAATTTTTCCCTGACAAGTGTACAGGCATATTTACTTTAATTTGAAAATCTTAAGAAATCATAATATTTATATCTGTAATCATGCTATTTGTAGACGCTTGAGATTTCTCTCAACAATTTTTTCGCCATTGTCCTTTAACGCTCAGATATCATCGCAATAGTTAGCAAAGTTTTAATGAGGTTCTTGAAGTAGCTAGGCGTTGACAAGCTGAACGTCGTTTTCCAAATTGACTTAGATTAAGTTACTGCCATCTTGTCATATCTTGATTTAATCTCCTTAAAACTAAACAAATTTTCTTAGGAAGTTACGCCATCTTGCTGTGTAATCTAAGATTCTTTTGTAGAAGTCAATATCTTTATTTAATTAAGCTTAGAATAACGACGCAAAATTTAAGGAAAGTATTTCAGTGTCACTTATAATCAACAACAATCTAGTTAACGCCTTGATTATTTAAAAATTGTGTTAATGTTATTTAACTAATATCTCGTTGTCGAGCAAGATTCACTTATAATAATATAAGCAATGAATTTTATTTTAACAGACACTAGTTAGGAACAACTTATACGAAAAGTGTGTGTGCGTACTTATGTACACGCGTTAGAAGTTATACTTCTTTGGCGTAACAAGATAAAAATCTTTTAAAAAAATTTATCTTTCGCCTTATTCTACGTTTGTAGAAAAAACGACACTAACAATAGAAAAAAGGTATTTAATACATTGAAAGTTTTATTATAACGCATTATCTAGTTAAATAAAGCTTATGTAAATATCACAAAATAAATATCGTGAATGCAGTTGTTAGTTCTCACGCAAATATACGTCTAGCGAACTTCAGGGTTTTTTTTATGGGATTTTTAAAAGCAGCAAACGAGCAGGAGGCTCAGCTGATGGTAAGTGATCACCGCCGCCAATGGACATCTGCAACACCCGAGGGCTTACAAATGCGTTGCCGGCCTTTTAGGCCTCTCTTCTTGAAGGTTCCCAGGTCGTACTGGTACGGAAAGACCGCCGGCGGCAGCTGTTTTCACAGAGTGGTTGTGCGAGGCAGGATATAACAGGCCTTGAAAATCGCGCTGTTGTGGAACGCTGGACATCGAGGTGGTGTGGATGAAATTTTTGGTTTTGGCGCGATGTCCGATGGTGAAATTCAGCCGCCGGGATCAATCCAAACAATTCCTCGGAACACTCCCCGTGATAGATGCGGTAGAAGATGCAGAGTGATCCAACATCTCTACGGACAGCCAAAGGATCAAGCCGATCGGAAAGTCGTCGATAACCTTAGGTGACCTACGTTAAATGCGGTCAAATGGAAGAAGCTGGTAACAGGGGGCTCCCGCCCAGAGCAGTACTCCACGTGGGGCCGAATTTGCGCCTTATAAAGGTTTAGGCGTTGAGCCGACGTGAAGTACTGTCTCGCCTTGCTGAGCACACCGAGCTTCTTTGAGGCCAATTTGGCCTTACTTTCCAATTGACCGCGGAACTGGACATTGCTCGAGATTTCGACGCCAAGTATTCCGATACTAGCTGTGGCAGACAGGGGCGTGTTCTCAAATGAGGAGTCACGACAAATGGGGACTTTTTGGCGGTTAACGCGCAAACTTATGTCTTGGGGTTGAATTGGACTAAGTTTAGTCGACCCCAGTCTGAGATTTTTTGTTAATAAAGTCTCGACTTCAGGCACAAGTTTGTTCCGGCTCTCGTAGACGTTTTCCCGAGAAATGTTAGCACGGCCAGTGTACGACACATCCACAGTGCTATCATCCGCATAGCAATGAATGCTGCTGATTTGCAACATATCATTGATATGCATAAGAAACAAAGTGGGAGACAGTACGCAGCCTTGTGGAACACCAGCATTGACAAATTTAGGATCAGAGCATGCACCGTCGACGACGACCTTGATACTCCGATCTGCCAAAAAGCTGGTGATCCAGTTGCATAACTTCCCAGGAAGCCCATAGGAAGGCAGCTTCGAGAGAAGTGCTTTGTGCCACACCCGATCAAAGGCTTTCGCTATGTCCAGACTGGCTGCAACCGCCTCCCCCTTGCTCTCAACTGCTTCTGCCCATCTGTGTGTCAGGTAAACTAGAAGATCGCCGGCTGAGCAACCTCGACGAAAGCCGTACTGGCGGTCGCTAATCAGCTGGTGCTCCTCTAGGTACCGCAAGAGCTGGCAGTTAATGATTGTCTCCATTATCTTGGAGAACAAGGAGGTGATGGCTATAGGCCTGTAGTTGGACGGATCCGAGCTGTTGCCTTTCTTAGGGATCGGGTGCACTAAAGCGGTCTTCCAGGATTTCGGGAATACGCCTAGAGTATAGGAGAGCCGGAAAAGACGCGTCAAAACCGGTGCCAACTCCGGAGCACATGTCTTCAACACGATCGGAGGGATGCCATCGGGCCCACTCGACTTATGAATGTCCAAGGAAAAGAGTGCTCTGCGAACTGCACTTTGCCGAAATTGAACCTCCGGCATCGTAGCATCGCAACGCGCTATTGTTGGTGGTGATTTTCTTCGGTCATCCAAAGTCGAGTTGGACGCGAAGAGAGAGCCCAGAAGATCGGCTTTCTCCTTCGCGGCATGGGCCGGGTGGAAAAGAAGGCTTACAGAAATTTCCCAAGACAGCTTTGGTGAGAGACCAAAACGCACGTGTTCGCGTTGGGAGACGCGCCAATCTCTCGCCAATTCTGCCAATGTGTTCCGATTTCGCCTTAGCAATAACACTTTTGAAGGACCTAGAGGCAGAGTTATACTTCTTTTTTAAAGCGCTGGTTTTTACATCACTTGACGTCGAAGCGTCAGCCCAAGCCTGGTAGCATTCCCGCTTTCGGCGTAATGCCAACTTACAGGAGCGACCAAACCAAGGCTGCGACTTGCCACCAATGGGCACTGCAGAGAACGGAATAAAGAGTTCCATACCTTGACGCACCACATCAGTCACTGAGTCAGCAACGACGTCTGGATCATCCGGCGAGAAGCAAATCTGCCCCCATGGGTAGGACGCAAAGAATGACCGCATCCCATCCCAATCTGCTGACCTATAATGCCATACGTGGCGGCAGCCCGCAAAGTGAGATGTCAGCTGGAGAAGATATCTACGTCTCGGTAAGAAAGAGCAAGGCTGGCTAGTTGGAATTTAGCCGCCTTATGTTACAAAAGTCCACGGCATGCGAGGAAGGGGTGGCCTTATGTTCCCTGCTCCGTTTGCCCCGGGCAGGTGTAGAGACCGCGAAATTCCCCCCCCCCCCCCCCCTCCAGAATACGAAGGGCAGCCTGGGCATTCACGCTCAGACGTTGTACGGCCTGCGCGTGGACGTCCAGGGAGGGATTCTCCACCGCCCTGTATGCTGGTGGTACCCTCCTGGGGTAGAAATTTTAAATTTCGCGCAGACATTATGGGGGAGTAATGGGGAGAGGACGTCCGGGACTCTCACAGACCAAACGAAACGCGACAGCATAGCGGGCCGGCCCAATTCCGCTGCTACCCGAAGGTGCGCAGCATGGCACTACCACTAGTTGGGTTGACTGACTGCACTGGTGGAATAATCTCTGTCACAAGATTATCCCACCAGCGGGTGACGGGTCCTGGCGTCGGGCCGTGACGGGTGGCGGTTTTTCGTGACGGTGTCCGCACGCATCGTAAAAATTTACTCTCATCACTTTTCCCTAACGCGAAAAAGAAGTATTACTTCAATATAATAAATACTCTAAGTAAATAAACTAAGTCATCCTTGGCTAATTGATGATGGCCGTACACTACAAATAAATTTTAAAATTTAAAATCTGTTTTTTTGTTGTGTTGACAGCATCGCAGGATTTTTTTTTAAATTATTCTGACACACTGTATAATTAAACAGAAGCCGTATCGACTGTCCCTTTTCAGATAATTAAAAATAGAAAATTGGTATCCTATTAGAAAATTTGCCTTTTTTTGTACGAGTTCTAAAATTTTCTTCTTTTCTTTTTCAACAGTCTCAAAGATTCAGGAATTATTTAGGTTTCGTTCTTTAATAAGTAACACCCTTTTTAATGAAATAGAAAATTGTTTATACACAAATCGCCTTACATTTAAAAAGTCACGTAGGTCTGAGCGCGCTCAGTTCGAAAGTAGTAAATTTAAATTTGATATTTGTTCCGACGGAAATTTTTAACTCTCGTTGGCATAACTGTTCAGCGTAACTCTTTAACAGTCTGTCAAAATAAAAAACACAATAAAATCCGTAAACTAGTTTAATTTAATACATTTAATATATTTAATGTACACTCATACCATAATAAGCGTTGTTATCAACAAAATTAGAAGTAAGCCTTTATAACGGCACGCTACGAAATCCATTCTTTGACTAAACAAAACCAGATGTAGCTAATTGCCTTGCTCAGATCATTGCTCCATGTAGATTACTTCTAGCTGCACTATTACTTACTTTCAAAAGTAATCGCAATTTAGGCTATCGTTTGACCTTAAAAAAACTTTCATAATACTTGCTAAAGGTCATAATTTATAATTTTTTTTTCTTTTTGTTTGGTTTAAATTTTCTCAGTTTGTGAAGTTCATTTTACATAAATTAAAATGAATCAGCTTTGCATAAATTTGGTATGAATTTTCATATGAAACTTACTGCACACGCAAATGAAATTAACATAAGTCACGTTGCTTTCAAAACAGTAGGTACCTGTTATTGTTACTTCTAGGTATTATTTAAATTATAAAGAACTACTTTTATTTAATTTTATTAGTTTATTCCTCGTTAATAAAGTATTTAAAAATGTAATGGAATAAATTTAATGTATTTTGTCAACAAATACCTATATTCTAACTGCATGAAACAATAAGATTATGCAAAGCAATTAAATTTAAATCAAATAAAAAAAGAACAAAATAATTTATTCATCGACATAAGAAACATGCATTTCATCTATTGACAGCCATTTTTTATAATTTTTGTATACTTGTTTGTTATATGTGAATATATAGATAATGCCGATAGTTCTGTTATTGTGTAAGAAAGAAGAAAATTGGGGACGAAGTGAGGAAACCTATCACTTTATTTATTACAATAATTCATTCTATCTATTACATAAAAATATTGTTATCATCATAGATCATAATACCATTCGTAAATTTAGTGCGTAAATGTGGCTTCATTTGCTAATAAAAAGTTTGAAATATTTTAGCAGTCCTATTCTGACAATGTAGCACTTCCGGAAGAAATTTTCAAAAGTTTCAAGTCCAATTAATGACCTAATTTTGCCCCGTTTTTTTATGTAAAAAGTTGCCAAACGAGCTGCTGGTTCACCTGATGTTAAGTGGATAACGCGGCTAATGGATATCTGCTACACCGGAGGGTTACAGATGCGTTGACAACCGTTTGAAAATTGGGCTCCGGCTACCTCACTCACCAGACGAAACGCGAAAGTATTTGTCTTACTTCCACTTTACGCTGGTCTTCTATGAGGTCGTGGTACTTACCCGGACGAGCCTGCCAATTCGTGCAACAACCGAGGCTGCCGCGTGGCCCTACCACAGTAATTTTAGTATCCACTTATGGCGGTTAAATTTTCTGGAAAATTTTACCCATAATGTATTATGTCTTGCGAAAACAATGACTGTTTATTCACATCTTTTTATATTGTACCAATTGCGTAGCGGTTTGGTGAGATTTTCTTATTTTTATTTTAAAATTAATAAATATTATTTTGTAGTGTTTATGTATTTAACATATCGTTTATTATAATTACGTAATTGTTTTATTATCTTACAAGGAAATATTTATACTAGACGAAACGTAGGTCGTAGTATTATATCCAGCCTAAAAATTAAAAAAATCTCGTATTTCTTTTGCTTAGGTTAAAATAACTTAAGTATCTTGAGGTTAGTGCAATTTTATATTGATAAAATCTTGGAGCAATTTGTTCTCCACTATAACCTCAATGTTCGCAATCTCAATGAAATGAAAAGAGTTTTCTCCTAAAGTACCTAATAGTGATTCGAATGCAATGAAAGCCGACACGTTTATCATTTGTCTCTCGTCTTAAAAGGCTGAAAGCAAACTATTCACGAGGAATGTATGAAGAGGATATTGGAAAAGTAACGTAAAAAGTTGCAAGAAATTTATCACGATACATAAAACATGTCCTTAAATACGAAAAAGTAATGAAACTCAATCCCTGCGGTTTATCACAAACGCAAAGAAATACAGTATAATAAATAAAGTCATAGGGCTGCCGAAAAAAGTTAAAACTTAAAACTAGATTATCTGTTAGGAATCGAATAATCGGTTTAGCCAAGCCTAGCTGCTGGCAACTCTTAGATATATATGTCATTGTAACTTCTCCTTATAAATTGAATTAAAAATTTTGTGTTTTTAGTAAATAAATCAACTTAATAGACTTCTGTTGTAACAACATTTGTGACTTAAACTATAACCCATTGTATTGTATCTTGACTTTTGATAGCATATATCTGTTTCATGTTACATTGGCTGTCACTGCGCAGGTAACGATTTCAAATTTAAATTTAAGTTTGTTGTCACTCTGTTCTCATTCAATTGCACACCATTGCAATTTGTATATTTTTATCATAAAATTATAATAATGACCAGAAACTCCAGATTTGGAACAACTCCACCTGGCGCTGCACGAGTTAAAGGCGATCCTTTCTCGGATGAATATTGACGTAGTGTCTCCTTCCGAACTTGCTGAGATTCACAACAGCATCAGACATGAAAAGACAACACGAAATATTACCTGCGTAATTCCCATAATATTATTAAGGTTTACAATGAGTTTATCTGTTTTACTTCTATCTGAAATGTTGTAGAATTTAATCAATAAAACTTTGATTAAATCGTAATTCGCCTAACAAATGAATATTATAAAATTTATCGGCAAAGTTCTTCTTTACCACTCCCGCTGTGCAAAATTTATTGGGCTGTAAATTTTACCACCCAATATTATCGCAAAAGGTTGACCATAACATTTACATTTACATATTCACTCACTTGTTGCCCACACCCTTCTCTTGCGTAAGTCGTTCGAACTTTATTACATTGGAGGATACGATCGACTTCATTGCGACAAATATTCAATCGGTTCTCTTGTCGAGAATTGGAGATAGAAAATAATTGAAAATGTTTGTTTTGTTATATAATTTTATTTTATTTGTTTTAAAAACTAAGCTTTTAAATTTTGTAAATCTAAATTTTTTTGTAGATTTTTTTTTATCCCTAACTATTGTCTATACATATTAATAATAATAAATATAGTATAATGATAAAACTTTAAAGGAAGTATTTTATATTGAATAGTTTCGAAAGTAGGCAAACAACGTAAAAATAAAAAGTTATTAACTCATGCACATGGGTGCTCACAATACAGCGGAAATTTCAGGTTCGTTTCCCTAAAGAAATTGTGAATAATTAATAACAGTGACTACACCTGATTGCAAAAAACGTAAAGTGTGGATAAAATATACACAATGGGCTTGGTGAATAATAAAATATAAAGTATTAGAATAAATATAATAAATAAGAAAAATACTGCCTCGCTATTACTATTGGCTTTTTTAACTTTATAATCTTTATTTCAATAGCTTCTCGCTATTGGGAGTAATCATTGTTCTGATCCAAGGATATGAGATTTATTAATTCTAATGTAATGGACTATGAATGTTTGAAGTTAATAATCCTTTGAGCATATTACATAACGGTAAAAACAACATGTCATCTTTTTAGGTCATTGATGTTTGATCGTTTGATTAAAATCAGTTACTATTTATACACACCTCAGAAAATACAAGTCCATTTTTTAACGAAAATCAAAACCGACTTCAAATATTTTTATTCTGTATATATATATATATATATATATATATATATATATATATATATGAATTTATTGGACATGGACCGTTGTTTTAGATTCGCTTATATTATTTTATGACAGGTAAATTAATATTTAAACCGTATGTTTTAACAGTAGCGTATAAAGTTGAAGAGAATCGCGTGTTAAATCGTAAATAATCGAAATTGGTATAACATACGATTAAACCTTAAGAAATATTATCATAACATCTAATTACAAAACAGAATGACGGAACTCAAACCATAGTTGTGAACAAAGCGTTCTGTTGTGTTTAGAGTTTTACGTCTCGTTTCAGGTAGATGTGAAAAGCTTCAAAAGATCTAGGCCTCCGTTTGAGCGCGGAAAATGCCAGTAAAGTACACACAGATGGAATTGAATTCCCAGGACTTATAAACGCAAAGCAGAAGTATCGTCAAACGAGATGAACAAAAGTATTTAAAGTTTAAAGTTGTTAAAGTCAGTCAGTCTTAATTATTCAGCCATCAAACTTATATTATTCACTACAGTTCTGAAGCAGAAACTTATCTATTTACTAAGTAATATAGCTGAATGGTAAACAAACAAATATTAACATAAAGTTTGAAAGTCGTGTAAATAAAGTTTAAGTTTGAGTTTCCAAATCAGATCTGCTTAAATTACTGCAGTTTTTT